CTCGTTTATAAGAAGAAAAGGTAGAATGTAGAGTTACGTACACGACACGGAGAATCTATGGATTTGATTTGCCAGATTGGTTTGCGATAAACAAAGATTCCAACAGAGCAAGGGGCTCGTTTCATGACGTTACGATTAAGACTCCTTAGGGTTGGATCGTCCGAGATAATGCAGTTCCCGTTAGCTCCCCAAGTGCGGTGAAACGAGAGGAGAATAAGATTTGAATTTTTATCAAGAGCGAACCAACAAATGTGTTCATGCATCTCATTAGCGGAAGTTAAAGAAGTGAACATGTTTATAGAAGTGGAGTCCCCATTAATCTCTTGAAACAGTTGGAATGAGCATATGGCATTTTCGGAATAAGACCGGCTTCCAGGCTTGGGTTTCTGAAGCTGGTGGGAGATAAATGTAGGAGTAGCTTGACCCTCGAGCTCGACCAAGTGAAGAACACAACACGTCATTGGAGAGCTTTTAGATGGGGAAGTAGCTCTAAGAAGGCTGATCATAGATGTTATGTCGTTAGGCTTGTTGATGCACACCAATGTTTGAAGTTCCGACTTATCTTTCAGGTTTCTTTTTCTGTAACATACGAATCTCTTGGACCGGTCATACAAGATATGTATAACCATTGATGTTACCAACGAGCTTACCATAATGTATACGCCCATGAGTGTTAAAATCTTTAAACTAATGGCCTGTTTAAAAAGACGGAGAAAACAATAAGATATAGATAGAAAGATGATCATACTTAATTATACGAGTGTAGCATCAAGATTCTTACTTGCTTTTCGAAGGCGTAAACTACGTAAGCCAGCTCGAAACTACTCTTGGTGCCCATAACGAGAGCTAGGATCACTGAGTCTCTTAAAGGCATCTTTGCAGCTATTGCGGATAAGAACGAAGTGGCGAATTTCGCTATGTATAAGACGAAAAGGAATGAAAAACACTCCTCGATATGTCGTTGCTCCACTAGTAGAGATGACAAATCTAGTCTAATCATGGTAAGTGATCCAAAGAGAGGTAAGAAAATTCCCACATTGAAGCTGTCAAATTTTTGTATAAATACTGATCCTAATGGCGGTCCATCCGGGATAGCCAAACCAAAAATAAACGCCCCTAGCGGTCCGAAGAACAGGAAGTGACTCCAGTAAAGATAAGACATGTAAGCGAGAAGTAGAACAATGTAGAGATAGATGTTCTTAACAGGTGATCCCTCCGGTGTATGTCTAATAACCCAAAACATGGCTTGTCTCACAAGGCACAAGAAAACGACGAAGAACATAAAAGCAACTCCCATCTGCATACCAGAATCGCCGCAAATGTGAGTCCCTATGCTCAGGGAAAAGGCTATAACATCGGTTATCATCGCCGAAGACTGAGCGATTTGTCCAAACTCAGTGTGAACTATCTTGAGATCTGTAAGGAGCATGTTGATGCAAGTGAAAGGCGTCAGGCTCATGGTTAATATGACTACACCATACTCTTTATTCGTCATGCTCAAGATACCCGATTGCTCTCTAGATGCATAGACGAGTTTTCCGATGTACCAAGGGATAATCACTGAGGTGACTCCAATTACAATACTTTTAGCTTTGGACTTTTTTATCATACCAACATCTATAGTCACACCTCTTAGGAACCAATTCAGGACAAAAGCAAATGTACCAATGGTCTCAGCAACCTTTGGCATATATTTGACAGGGAGAAAGATGTCTCGAAACCATGACATTTGTATCGGTTGAAACCCCTCGCTTAAGACTGCCCCAACCTTGAAGAAGAAGAGAAAATGTGTTATATTATCTCTAACATAGCCGATCAAATCAATCAAGATATCGAAAAACCCACCCGTAATGACTTACAAGCATCATGGAGGTGAACTTGGGAATAGGAACACCTAACTTCTTGAACAACGCATCAAATAAACGCCATGATAAGAATGTGAAGAGAATTATAATCTCCAATTTAGGAAGTGGATACTCCCAGAATGCCAATCCTTCGGATCCAAACGCCATTTTCTCCCACGCGCCATGCGAGTTCAACATTATATGTGGAGATACATCGCATAAAATATTACTTCCCATGTCTGCTCTTTTCACATGGTCGTCCCACGTCAACTCTTTAGGCCAAGTTGCGTTTTCTGGATCCATTTGTGAAAAAACTTACGAATTGGTTTATGGAGTCAAAGGAAGAGCTAAAAAGTGAGTTTCAGAGTCTAGGAATCCAAGATATATATATCTCTAGAATTAGCAGAGATGTTGGATAAATATAGTTATTGTCAGGTTTTTTTGGCGTTTGTAAGTTGTATTGCTATAAAATAACATGCTCTACTTAGGGTTACATATTCTAAATAAACACTGCCATTTTTAATAAGGTGATAAGATGAGTTATTATTACAAGATAATCTATTTTTGAAGATATTTCAATGAAAATTACTTCAAATATGAACTCCAGACATGTCATCTTCTTCAAACGTGGTTCTCGCTTGGCGACATCACACTAGATCCTTTTTGAGCTCCATCAAATTCGATTGATGCATCTTCACTACTACGAATGGCAATTACGCTTAACGACTCTGAAGCGTCGCAGCGTCGACCAGATTCATCAGCAGAATGGACCGATCGGGCCTTCACCAATAGGGTTTTGGTTTATAAACGGAATTTATTGTTTAATTTTCATTTAGAGTGTGCTTCTATTTGACCAAAAAAAAACAAAAAAAACTAGAGTGGGCTTCTAAACTACTATATTAATGGGCTACTCTTGCTTCAAAATTAATCAACAAAAAAAAAAGTTTATTGTATAACAAAAGGGTAATTTGCCCATTAACCAAAAAAATATATTAATTAAGCAAATGATCAAAAACCCTAAATCTAATTGGTTGAGATTGTACCATATAAAATTGTTGGTTATTTGCTTAATTTATTTAATTTTGGTTATTGGACAAATTAACCCATAGCAAAAATTGATAGTTTTGTTTTTTAATGTGTTTTTTCTTTTTTCAAGGAATTTCTAGAATTCTTTGAGTCGTAGTGTCCCTCGATCGAGATCAACATGGCATAAATACAACTTATCCCAAACAAGATTTGAACTAGAGTGCAAAGCATTCATTTTATAGCGAGAGATTTTTGTAGTGAATGGTAGGATGAAAAACTTAAATTCTTATATATATCGGTATGATTGTAAATTTCTCCGTTCTACATAGCGAACGGACGAACGAAAAATGAGGGGAGAGTGGTGGTGCCCATAAGCACATGGTGGCCTAAGATGGCTGGTGGTATTAAGTTGTAAACTTGTAATTGAACCAGCGGGTACATTTTACAAATAATTAAGAAAAGTATAGTCTATATATTTTGATATTTCAGAAGGAGATCAAAATCTTGAAGTTATTATATTCATAAGAAAACTAGAATCATTGACCTCCATTTTCTTTACTCATTAATTTCATGCATCCTAAACTGATCTCTCATGTAAAGAAACATAAAAATCAAACAGATGAGCACATATCTCACATATTACTTTATTTTTTGGTTTCGCGTTTTGTGAATGTACTCTTGTTTTTGTACAACCAACACTGATGCTCTAGAAGGATATTCATGTGATGCTAAGAAATCTCCTATGGGTCCCAATTCATGAAACTCTGTCCACTCACTAATACCATTAGTAACCTCAGTACCTATTCCGCTGCTTTGTCCGATGATAAACAATTCATAATCCTTTGCCATTGCTTGTAAGATTTTGGAGGTCTCGGATCCATCAGAAACCGCTTTTTCTAGGTATATCACATTTTCATCGTTTTCTCTGACGTTGGACCCAATAATGTTAGTCACGGTCTCCTTTAGGTTACCCACTCGCAAGGTCCCCTCCAACTCATGGTTCTCCATTTTATATGATGCTGGAATGAATCTTATGATAGTTACACTTATCCGTCTTTCGGTCAGTCTCATTCGATTTGCTATCGCCAAAGCCTCCTTGTCGTCTTTTCCGCCGTTAAAAATTAAACAGATCCACGAAACAGAAAACAAACCCAACAATTTTTTTCAGAATATTAAAAATTTTTTTGTTAATTGTAAATGCTGCATTTGGCTTTTGCATTTACACAATGTAATAATATTTTCTATAAAAAAAATTCAGTTTTTTATTTTATAAAATCTAATTTTTTTAATTTTCACATATACCTTGTTGTGTCGCTCTGTCATATGAGATTCCACGATGGGTTTGCGATAGATGAAGATTCCAACGGAGCAAGGAGCTCGTTTTAGGACGTTAAGGTTAAGCATTCTCAATGTATCATCGTTGGAAACCACCGTGGATCTGTCAACGGACCAGGTTCGATGAAAAGAAAGTAAGATCAGAGATAGGCTTTTGGATAGGGCTAGCCAACAAATGTCCTCATGCATGTGTTTAGACATGGAGACGGAAGTGAAAATATCCAATGATGTACAATCAGAGAATTCTTTGTGGAAGCGACGGAAGGAGCTTATGACATTGTCGGAACAAGAAGTACTTCCTGGCTCTGGTTGTTGCAGCTGGTGGGAAATGAACATAGGACTGGCTTGGCCCACAAGTTCGATGAGGTGGAGTATGTTGCACGCCATTGGAGAATCATTTGATGGGCTAAAAGTTTCCAAAAGGTCGATCATCGAAGTTATGTGATCAGGTTTGTAGACGCACACAAGAGTTGGGAGTTCTGCGCCGTCTTTTAAGATGATCAAATTCCTTTTTCGGTAGCATTTGAACCTTTTGGTTGGGTCATGGAC